CCCCAGGCCCGTGGGCAGAGGGCCCCACGCCAGAGGGAAGGTGCAGGCCAGAGGGGGCACCTGGCCTGCTGACCGGTCCCCACCTGACACTCCCCGGGAGTCAGCTGGCTGGCCTCGGCCTGGGTCCAGCCCGGGACCCGAGCCCAGCCTCCCCCTCCCGCCAACCGTCTCCACCGACACGCTGGGGCGCCTGCACACGCGTCCAGGTCTGCAGGATGGAAGGGCTGCAGGTGGTACCCAGTCTCGACAGCTGAGCTTTAAAAACCTGCTGCTTGTCATCTCCCAGAACCGGCTCCCGGATCGGGGGCGGGGGGGGGGGGGGGCAGGAGGGCAGGGGGGTGCAGGAGAGGGAGCCGGGGTGCACAGGGGCGCCCTCCACACACCACGGGGCCTCACGCGGCACTTCAGACCCCTCTCTGCTCAGAAGGTGCCTCTGGAAAAGGAAACCAGCCTCCCCGTCTGTCGTTCCCGGCTGGCCGGTGCCGCGTCCCTGACTTCGTCTTTGCGGAAGGAGACGTGTTTTTATCCTTTCCTGATTTTAATAAACACCAGGCAGCCCGTCTCTGGGAAGGCGCTCTCGGCCTCGGAGTGGGTTAACAGTTTTTAAGTACATTTGTAAACGGGATTATTGTTTTCTAAAGTTCTGCTCGCACTGAGATTAGTGGCCGCCATACCCGGGGGGCAGGAGGAGGGGGGAGGGGGGTCCGCTGGTCCTTTTCATCCCCAGCTGGGCGGGCAGGCAGTGCAGGTGCTGGGAGAGGGAGGACCCAGAGGGAGGAGCCTGGGCGAGCAGGTTCCCTGGAGGGGCCAGAGAAGGCCCGCCGGGCGCTGGGCGCTGGGCGGTGGGCCCCGCTGCTCCCAGCCCCGTTGCTGCCTCCGTCCCTGAGCTCCAGCGGGAAGTTTGGCTTTTGCTGCAGGAAGCAGCTGGGCCAAGCAGCCCGCGCATGATAATGGCCTCAGAAATCTGCTGTGCTCGGGCAACAATAGGGTGCTCAGTCTCCCGGAAAATTGTGTTCATCAGCTAACTCTGCTCAGTTACTAATTGACATTGCCAAATATTTTAAGAACAATTGGAATGCACAAGCAAAAAAAAAAAAAAGAAGATCTTAATCCTCAGATTTAAATTTTTTTCTTTTCTTTTTTTTACCCCCTCTTCTTTGGGGGGCCTGGATGGGGGGAGGGGGGCAGAGGCAGTGGTGGGCGGGGAGGAGGAGCCCCCGGAGGAAAAGGGTGGACAAGAAAGGAGATCGATCGTCTCACTGTCCAGCCCGGGGAAGGGCACGGGGACCGGACGCCGGCCTTTGAGGCTGTGGTCACAGGGCCTACCCGGGCCGGGACCACGATGTGGGAATGCCACTCGGCCCCCACAGAGGAGCCCGCCAGGCTCGAGCCCAGCTGACCAAACAATGAGCGTGTCCACTCCACAGGCTGCCCAGCAGGAGTGGGGGTGGAGGACCTTCTCGTCTTCCTCTCTCCCTGGCGTTCGGCGGGTCCCGGAACTTAGCCGACATCATTTAAGGACGGGGGTCAGCGCCTTCCGTGACTCCCTCCCCCACCCCCGCTTCAATTAGCCCCCCTCCGAGTCCCGGGGCTGCGGGGGGCGGGGGGAGGCAGCGGCCCCGCCGCCGTGATGAGGAGCAGGGCTGCTTCCTAGTACATTAAGTTTTAATTATTCCGAGCGTGACTTCCCAAGCGAAAGCTAAAGATGCAGAAGGTGGGTCATCCTCGGAGTTGGCGTGAAGCTCAGATGCCGGCACGGGCTCCGCTGGGGTTTCACAGGGAGAGATGCCGAGACGGAGGCCCTGGGCGGCGGGCACGTGCGCCAGCAGCGAGGGGCCGTCCAAACAGCCACCCGCTCCCCCGATGTCACCAGAGAGTCGGATTTATACGCTGCTGCCTCCAAGCCACGCACTTCCCTGGCCTTGGACACGGAGGCAGAAAGGACATCGGCTGGGGTGTGAAATGATCGGCCAGCCACACAAACAGCAGCAAAATGGGGGGCGAGATCGGGGGGGGGGCGGGGGGAGGCCCCTTCGGCTCCTTTCGTCCCTATTCGGTGAGAACCTACAACCTCTCCATGTGTCTGAGGCCCTGGCTCCCGCCACTGCTCCGAGCTGGGCCGCGGCAGTTGGGAGCGCCGAGAACAAACAGATTTTCTGGTTCACTGGGATCGCTTTCACATGCTCACTGACTCAAACCTCCCCTCTGCTCACATCACCGACAGCTGCACCCCACACCAGCCCAGCCAGGGACGGCCGCCCGGCTCGGCAATCACCGTGTGATCGCAAACTTGACCCTCTCGGCGTCTCGGTCGGAGCGAGACATTTTTAAACAGCCACTCGGCCCGTCCCCGCGAGCATTACATCAGATAACAAAGGCCGCTCATTGTCAGCCTCCTCGGCGGATCGCGCTAAGAGGCTCTCGGCAGAGAGGGTTTATGATGAATTCAGAACGACGATCATGTTAAGAGCAGCGATTTATAAAGGAAGAATTCGCTGGTGAAGATCTGAAAACATAGTTTCCCAGGCCCTCCTGACCCAGTTTCCAACAAGAAAAGGAGCGAGGGATGGAAATTGAGTTTTGCGACATTGTTATGCCGCCTGAGAACGCGGGAACCGTCGTTCCTTCATTGAGGCCTTAATCAGCGCTGCTTTCTTTACTGAAGGGCTTAAAGAGGTGGCTCTTCCCTGCCCTCACCTTGCGGTTTCTCTCTGACAGGTAATAATAAAATACCTATTGTGTCACAAATTTTATTTAAATGCTGCTTTTCAATGCACTTTGTCCAAGTCAGACTTGTGAAGAGGGAGGAGGGAACCGATTGGGCGTCGGGTCCCAATCCCAGGCGAGGCCTCACGCCGCGGCAGCCGACGTGGGCCGCGTGGATGGCGGGCCTGTGGCTGCTGCTGGGCCAGAGGATCGGGAATAGGAAGGAAACCAGCCCCAGACACAGAGTCGGCCCTCACGGCTCAGAGCTGCCTCCACGGGGGCGGAAAAGCAGGCAGCTGGCCTCAGCGCAGGTCGCGGGCTCCGAGAGGCCTGGGAGGCAGGGTAGCTTTTTGCAAGAACATTTCGAGACCCGGAAACGACAGCTAGGAAGAGCGTGGGGGCTACCACTCCGCCAGAAGGCGAGAAAACCGCAGAGAAGGAGACGTCACGAGGAAAAAGCGAGCATTTGGTGCCGGAACATTCCGCCGAGCCCTCTGTGTCTCAGCGGGTCCGGGCGAGAGGCGTGGAAACCTGTCAGCTTCACGCCGCAGATTTAGGGGACCCGGGCTGCACTCTGCTCTCTGCCCCTCGAAGGCCCCCTCTTTCCCCAAAACAGGGAGACCACACACCCCGGCACCAGGGACTCCCTCGGGGGCCAGGAACAGTCCCCAGCGACAGGGGACAGCCTCACTCTGCCGCCTCCACGTTCAGGGACCCACTTCCACCGAAAGCTGAAGTCCCCGCCCTGCGTCTCGCCTGCCCGGGCCGTGGTCACCCCGTGGCGCGGCCGGCCCGCCCAGGCGCGCTCCTGGTCCCGCTCAGCCTCCCCCGGAGTTCCCACCAGAAATAAATCACCGCCGAGCCAGGGACTGCGGAGCAGACAGTGTGTTTCATGGGTATTTAAGCAGCGGCATTAAGTGCTATCGGAATCTCTGGAATGTCCCGCTCAGATTTATGTGTCTTAACAATTCTTTCCTGGCCTGTGATAAGCCAGGGGCGCACACTTCATCTTCATCCTACTTCTGCCCCGGGGGGGCGCGGGGGGGGCAGACGGAAGCGCGGCAGTGACGACGGAACAGCCCGCGTGCACGTCATCGCCGCCTCCGATACACAGATGTTTATCGAAACCCAGGAAGGGGGGAGAAGAGGGAGACGGGGGAAAAAACTAAAAACAAAACAAAACAAAAAACGAACCCCCGCCCTGGCTGCCACCCGCGCCTGTGGGCAAGGCGGCGCCTCGAGGTGCCCCAAACTGCCGTTTGTTTCCTCGGCGTAATGGCTGATTGCAGGAATCAATGTTGCCATTAGTAACAGGGTATTTGTTAGGGCACGACTTCCGCCGCTGGGAGGCTGCGGAGTGAGTGCAGGATTAGCCGGCTGCTCTCCTCAGAAAGGGCTCCAGACAGAACTTCCCGAGCACCGTCCACACGGAGGGCCGGGCCCAGGCCGAGGAGGCCGCCCGCCTGCGAGGGGGCCACTTAGATTCAGCCTGGGAGGCGTGAGGGGGTGTGTGTGTGTGCGCATGTGTGTGTGCATGTGTGTGTATGTGTGCACGTGCGTGTGTGTTCGTATGTTTTTTCAAACGGGGCCAGGAAGCCTCCGTGTTTCAGACGTTCTGATGACAGATTTTCTGCTTTGCTGTTTTGGACCCCAAGGCCGCATCACCCATGAACAGGGCACATGGCGGGATGGGCACTGGCGCATCTGAGCCAAAGCTCCGTGCCCACCAAACCACCGAGGAGCTGGCCCGGGGCCACACTGCGGTTCTGGAAGGGACCCACAGGGCCCGGTCTGGGGAGGAAGACCGGGGGAGCCCACCTGAGCGGATCACAGGGACACCCTCAGCGGGGAGGGCGGGGAGGGCCTGAACTTGCACCTTCACCTCTTTGGACGGATGGAGCAGGCTCCAGGCTCCCGGGCTCTGGAGAGCAGGGGACGGCCAGCAGGCCAGGGCATGACGTGGAGCAGACAGGTGGGTAATTACAGGGAGAGGTCTTCCCGTGGGTGAATGTGCCCACTGGCCATCCTACCCCACGGGAGGAGGAGGGTCCACTACATTTCATAGGAGCCAGGGCTCAAGGGACGGCTAAGAGACAAAATGACAGCCTTCTCTCCACCAGGCAGACAGGCGAGGTCCTCACGCGCCCACCAGCCACGCTGACCTCGGGCCTGACCTTGCTGACCTCAGATCTGACCTTGAAGGGCAGCAAAAGGCGCGCCCCCCACCGAAGCCTCTGGGCAGGCAGGGCCCTTGCCTGCTGTCCTGCCCCCACCCGCCCGCCCGGCCCACCTACCTGAGGAGGACGGCGAGGAGGGGTGCGGGCTGTCCTCCTGGGCACTGCCGGTCTGGGAGAGCCCCCCGCCGACCCCGCTCTCCTCGGTGACGTTGGAGGAGCCAGGCGTGGTGGAGCGGCTCACCGACTGGGACTCCTGGTCGCTGCCGGAGCCGCGCCGCTCATCCAGGCCCGCGTGGGGCCCGTCCTCCTCGGCCTTGCGGTCCCGCTTGTGCACGCGCGAGTGCACCACCACCTGGTGGTAGGTGCGGAACACGCGGCCGCAGTCCGGGCACTCGGTGGGCTTCTCCTTCAGGCCCCCGGGGCCCTGCAGGTGGTAGTCCAGCGCCTGGCTGAGCCCGTGGGACAGGAACTCCCGAGTGCCCTCCAGCGGGTCCAGCTTGGCCGGCAGGTCCCTCTGGCCCGCCGCCTTGGAGCCGGGGACCAGGTCGGCTGGCATTTTCTGGCGGGAGCCGTCGGACCCCACCAGCACGTACTCCCGCTTCTCCTTATCGAACAGGACGCCCGCGGGCGCCAGCGCCTCCTCTGGGCCGCGCTGCAGCGGGTGCTCCTTGGGCAGGAAGCCTCGGTCGGCCGCCACGCCCCGGGCCATGAGCTGCCAGGCCTGGTAGCTGTGCACCGGGTCCATCTCGGCCGCCTTGGCCGCCGCCTGCAGCCGCTCGATGCAGCTGGACTTGAGCGGGGGCACCAGGCTCAGGCAGCCGAGGAGCGCGTGCTTGTCCCCCTCGGGGGCGCCCCCGTGCGCCCCGCTGGCGATGGGCGCGAGCAGCTTGCCCAGGACGTCCTTCTCCTTCAGGGGCAGCTCCCCCTTGTAGAGCTGGCCGCCGGGCTCGCCCAGGCCGGCTTTGTCCGGGGCCAGGAAGCCGCCCTGCAGGCAGGACAGGTAGCGGGAGTACAGGTTGGCGTGGGCCTCCGGCGCCAGGCCGCCCAGGGGCGCGGGCGCGTCGGCGTCGCCGGGGGCCTTGGCCTTGGCCGACAGCTTGTTGAGGTGCACCTTCATGTGGTTCTTGAGGAACCAGGGCTCCTTGAAGCGCCGGCCGCAGATCTGGCAGCAGTGCTCGAAGGAGTCCTTGTGCTTGCGCATGTGGCCCTTGAGGAACCACGCCTGGCTGAACACCTGCCCGCACACCTCGCAGCGGAACTCGTGCGCCGCCTGCTCGCCGCCGCCGCCGGGGCCCTGGCCCTGCGCCGACTCGGCCGTGATGTGCGCCTTCTCCACGTGGCTGATGAGCTCCTCCTCCTGCGAGGCGGCGAAGTCGCACAGCGTGCACTTGTAGGGCTTGTGCAGGATGCGGATGTGGCGGTCCAGCTCCTCGCGCTTCTTGAACTTGCCCTTGCAGAAGGTGCAGCGGAAGCCGGCCGCCGGGGCCACCGCCTCTTCCTGGGCGCCGCCACCCAGGGCGGGCTTGGGCGAGGGCGCGGGGCGGGCGGCGTCGGGCGCGCCGGGGGCGGAGGCGGCGGGGGGCGCCAGGTGGCCGGGGGCGGCGGGCGGGGCGGGCGGCGCGTGCGCGTGCGCGTGCGCGTGCGGCGGGGGCTTGAGGTCCGGGCGCGCGGGCGCCAGGCTGCTCCGCAGCTGCTTGTCCCGCAGGATGGCGCGCTCCTCCAGCTCGTGCAGCAGGCGGTTCTCCTCGCGCACGCGCCCGCGGCCCTTGCCCAGGTTGCCCAGCTTGTGGGTGCGCAGGTGGATCTTGAGGTTGCCCTTCTGCGCCGCGCGGTGGTCGCAGTAGGGGCACTTGAAGGGCTTCTCGCCCGTGTGCGTGCGCATGTGCAGCGAGAGGATGCTGTTGAAGCGGAAGCGCTTGCCGCACAGCGGGCACGGGTACTTGCGGTTCTTGCGCGCGTCGTCCTCGATGTCGCTCATCTGCGACATGATGCCCAGGTTCTGCCCGTTGAGGAACTGCTGCAGGTCCACGCGCCCGTTGAGGCTGGTGTCCAGGTCGCGGCCCAGCGGGCTGGCCAGCAGCGCCATGGGGCTGCCCAGGGCCGGGCCGCCGCCCAGGGCCACGTGCGCCTGGTCGTCCAGGGGCGCGGGCTTGTCCTCGGGGCCGGGCCGCACGTGCAGCTCGGGGAAGGCCTGGCCCAGCTGCGAGGTGACGTGGTGCAGCTTCTGGCTCATGGCATACTGGCCGTTGAGCACGGGGCCGCTCCGGCGGGGCTCCGCGTCGGCCGCGGCGGCGGGGGACACTCCAAGGCACAGGCTGGCTTCTTCCATCCCTGGAAAGGGAGAGAGAGTTCAGATGGGGCGCGCAGAACCCGGCACGGAGGGGGCGGGGGCGGGGGGGGGGCGGGGGAGTGGGGGGCAGCCACCGCCGGGCTTTTGCGTTTCCCTGCCTCACCTCACCATCGTCATGCTCGGGAATGAGAGTCGAAAACAATAATAAAAGGATGAATTATTAAATGCCAATTATGCAACATGGCTTTGGTCCTCCCATTTGTTTGGGCGATGGATCGTCTTCCCTTGTATTTTCTATTTGCCGACTGCAATTACTCATTCATGGTTAAATTATTCACGTTTTACCACTTTCAGCACCTGATCACAGATGGGGTGGGGGGCGGTCAGCGTGGGAAAGTCTCCCCCCCGCCCCAGCCCCCACCTTGGGACACCCACACCTGTTGGCTCCGTTCAAAGTTGGCCTCGGAGCAGAACGGCTGTCCCACTCGCTGGGAACTCAGGTTCCCACGGCCAATGCATTCGCCACTCTGAGATGAAAGGGGTTATTTTATGTTTTGGTCAAAAAAAAAAAAACAAGAAAGAAGGAAAAAGAAACACCCATGGCATGATATTTACTGATACATAATAAAACAAGATAATGTTTCGGGGGGAAATAAAGTAACGGACAGGCTTTGGAACAATAAAAGGGATTTTGCTTTCGTCAACAAAAAGTGCAGTAATATCTCATTAAGCTGATTAGTATGCTGCTTAGAAACAGTGCTAGGTGCTGTAACACATGATTATAATCATAAAAATCCTTCAGTGTTTGCAAGGAAGCATTAACGAGGTATATTAAATTTTAAGGAGACTGCAAGTAGCAGCTTTGCAAACCTCGGAGATTAAGATTTAACCCTTATGTTACGAAACGCTCTTATGCTGTCGTCGGGCGGCACACACGGTCTCCTGACGGAGTCAGCGGGTCCCGAGACGGTGCGGACGCGGGCGGGGTGAGGCCTCCCACCAGGGACACGCTTGCTCCCTGTCCTTCCACGGGCACCGTCTCCAGGGCTGGGACTCTCGCTGGGCTTAAGGCGATCGTTCAAAGAACTAGATAAAGACCAATTAAAGGCCAGCGCCGCCGCTGTCGGAACTCTCGCCCCGTCTGAGTGTTTTTAATAACTTTCCCGATACCCAGTAATGAGTACAAATGGTACCTGCGGAAGGCGCTCGGCGGAAAATGAGAACCCGGAGCCGTTTGTTAAACAGCAGCGCGCAGAGCGGGGCGGCAGAACGGTCTGTCACCGGCCTCACCGCCCCTCCGGCCAGTGCTGGGCTGCTGAGCCGGCCACGCGGGGATGGGCGCGGGAGCCAGCCCCCACGTCAAGCCCGTGAGAATTCAGCCCTGAGAGGCCAGGAGCCCACGCCTGGGGCCCTCCTGTTTCCAGAGCCCGGCTCCCCCTGAAGGAGCCCAGACCCGCCTCCCACCCCTGGAACGATGCTAACAGCTGTCCTCTGCGGGCCCCGCTGTTCGGATGTCCTGGCCAGCCAGGCGGGCCAGGAGCAGCGCTCACCCCCAGCCAGGACTGGTCCCCGGGCCAACACTCCCCCGTGGGCCTTGGGGCAGAGCTGGGGTGTGGAGGCAGCACATTCGGTGTCACGGGGTGCGCTGCCCGCTGCACTGCCCACTGGGCAGCCTGTGCGTGGCGTGGAGGGTCTCCAGCGGGGCCAGCCTCCCTGGAGTCAGGACGGGCTGGGTGGCCATCGGGCACAGAGGGGCACAGACACGGTGATTCTTCCCAGGGCAGAACGCGTCGCCGCGGTGCAGGTCCACGTGTTCATGAGGACGACGCAGGGCAACTGCCCGCGAGCTTACACCCGGCACAGGGCACTGCAGTAACAGGAACCTTACAATTTGCCATCTTTTTGTTCCTGGTGGCAGTCAAATTATTTAAAAAAAAAATTTTTTTTTTAAAAAGGCCAATTTTGGAGACCGGTCAGAAAGGAGTGGCTTCCTGTGGAGATGCGTGCATCTCAGTAACTTACCAGGCCCGTCGCTGGCCCTCGGAGACAGGGCAGTCCCGGCACCCACCAGCCAGCACGGAGGGACAGGCCCAGGGTGCAGAGCCAGGACACCTGGGCCGTGTCCCCAGCCTCGCGCCACCTTCAAGCCCCCGTGGGCCATGCCCGCTCCTCTCCTAAGCGAACACGGATCACGCCCTGAGGGCACGTGGGAGACCAGGATTCACCAGCACGCGGGGAAGTTCACAAAGTCCAGAGCCAACGCGCTGGCCCGCGGCCAGAGGCTGCCCAGTTGGCCGGCTCCAAAGATGCCAGGCCAGGAAGACGGGCTATTTTCAGGTTGCGGCCAATTCAGCAGGAGGGCGCGGAGGCTGAGTGCGCCATCCGTGCCATCCGGCGAGCCCACAGATCAGTGGGTCGGGGGAGGACCACCTACCGCCCCCACGCACGCGGGACCGCTTGCCACATAATGCGCTTGGGCCTTTTCCAGCGAGGTCTGGGTATGCAGTTCTTTTACTGTTAAAAATTTTTTTCAATCAACAAAGCTTTTTAAAAAACCTTTTACGCAACTGGTCAAGTGCCACTGCTGAACACGGAATGTTCTAGACCAGGGGTGGGCAAACTTTTTGACTCGAGGGCCACAATGGGTTCTTAAACTAGACCGGAGGGCCGGAACAAAAGCATGGATGGAGTGTTTGTGTGAACTAATATAAATTCAAAGTAAACATCATTACATAAAAGGGTACGGTCTTTTTTTTCAATAGTTTTATTCATTTCAAACGGGCCAAATCCGGCCCGCGGGCCGTAGTTTGCCCACGGCTGATCTAGAGCCTGCAGAGGCCAGATAGTGTCTCTCTTCTCCTCACACAGGCCTCAGCTCACAGGGCCCTGTCTGAGGCCGATGCCCCCACCCTCCTTCACAGCGCTCAGCGCCAGGGAAGTCTGGCGTCAACCCTCCAGCGAGCTGCTGCTTTTCCGTGAGGGCAGGTCCCGTCAGCCTCGGTCCCAGAGGAGGTCTCAGGGCGAGAGCAGCGCTGGCTCATCGCAGGCTCCGTGATGGCCCGCCGAATGGGGGAGTGAATGAGCAGACCTCAACAACACAGGCCACAGTAGTGAGTCCCAACCTCCCAGGCCCCAAACTCCGCCTCGCACAGGTCCAACAGCACCCACAGTCAGACGCCCCACAGTCCGGAGGGCCCCTGGCTACGCCCTGAGGAGACTCTGCCACCACCAGCTCTTTCAGTCCAGGTGCCCACGGGCACCAGGAGGCAGAGACCAGGCTGCGTGGGGCCCATGGAGGATGAGGATTTGAGCAGAGCGCCAGCTCACCAGGAGACATGCCAGGCGACGGCCCTCAAGTGAGCAGAGCCCCCGGGGGCAGGGCCGCACCAGACGGTCAGCCCAGATCCTCTGGGACCCGCCCCCTGCAGTGCCAGGAGCAGGTGCCCAGATGGGTCAGCCCTGGCCAACGCCAGCGCCAGCCGAGAGCAGGGGAGGGAGTTCCTGGAAAGGCAGGAGCTGGCGAGCTGGCCGGGGCCAAGGCGGCCGCGGCAGGATGAGCTGGCCCCCCGCCCGGCCTGGGCCTCACAACCCTGGGTCCGCCCCAACGTCTCCAGCCTCCAGGTTTCCCCGTCCAGAACTCATTACCCCTGGCTCGGTCACTCAGGGACACTTGCCAGGGGCCACTGGGCAAGGCCACCAATGACAGGAAAGCAACAAAACGGCTCCCGAGAGGCAGAATTCCAAGTTCAGGGGGAGGAGAAACCATTGCAGCTGTGGACACAGGTGTGAGTGTGAGTGTGTGTGTGTGTGTGTGTGTGCGCGCAGGAGAGTGTGTACACGGGTATGTGTGTATGTGTGTGCATGCACAGGGGAGTGTATGTGTGTGTGCAGGGGAGTGTGTGCACAGGTGTGTGTGTGTGTGTGTGTGCAGGGGAGTGTGTGCACAGGTGTGTGTGTGTGTGCGTGCAGGGGAGTGTGTGCACAGGTATGTGTGTATGTGTGTGCATGCACGGGGGAGTGTATATGTGCATGTGCAGGGGAGTGTGTGCACAGGTATGTGTGTATGCAGGGGAGTGTGTGCACAAGTATGTGTGCGCATGCAGGGGAGTGTGTGCACAGGTATGTGTGTATGTGTGTGCAGGGGAGTGTGTGCACAGGTGTGTGTGTGTGTGCGTGCAGGGGAGTGTGTGCACAGGTATGTGTGTATGTGTGTGCATGCACAGGGGAGTGTATATGTGCATGTGCAGGGGAGTGTGTGCACAGGTATGTGTGTATGTGTGTGCGTGCACAGGGGAGTGTATATGTGCGTGTGCAGGGGAGTGTGTGCACAGGTGTGTGTGTGTGTGTGTGTGTGTGTGCCCATGGAGTCGGTCTGTGCAGGGGCGGGGCGTGGAGTCCCCATGGGAACTCACACAGATGCTTCCCTGTGACTGCGGGACCGGTGGTGCCACTGCTAAGGGATGGAAGCCACCGGCAGCCCCGACAGCTCCCAGGGAGGGCAGAGGCTGCCTGAAGGGGCCTCCCTGGCAAAGTGTCCCAGGTCCCTCCTGCAGCCTGCAGCAGGCACGGGGACACGTCTGTCCTCCGAGGCCTGCCGTGGACCCTGTCAGTGCCACGCCCTGCGTCCCGACCACCAGAGCGGACACGCTCCTGGCCTGCAGCGCTGCCCACACGCCCCTGCCCCGGGCACTTGGTGGCATGTGCACGGCCCCGGCCTGGATCTGGGCCGTCTCCCAAGACGCGGCCGCTGAGACACCGCAGTGCGAGGCCGGGAGCAGCATGGGGCGGGCCTGACCCCGCCTGCAGGCCATCGGCCGCCAGCCGGCCTCTGTGGCACTGCCAGGACGGCACCTGACCCGTCACCAGGGAGGAAACCTTCGCACAGTGAAAGCAAGTAAGACACGACTCACCACTGAGAACAGCCCACTGGCCCTCGGCGCATGGCCTCAGCCCGAAGCCGAGCAGGAGCAGCAATAAACCCGCTGGCTGGGCGCCCGTCTGCCCAACGGACAGGAGCCGGGCTTCCCCGAAGCTGGGCAGG